AAAATCTCGATATAGATGCACGTAAACTCCTACAGAATTAGATTGTAAACGACTGTATTTTCATATGAATGCATAGGTAATGGAAAGATAGCATAAATAAAATTGAAGTCAAAATCATTTATATATATAATTTCAGGAATACAACAACATAAACGATAGGGAAGGTATTGTAAATAAACACGTATCTCGTTTTTGTTTACGTGTCGAGGGTTCAAAAGACAATAGCAGCAAAATACCGGGAAAACCTTGTCACAGATGTACACATAAATAGGCATAGACAAAATCAATTTCCTCCGTCTGTCAAACGATATTTTTTTAAAAGTACTTGGTGTTGTCAGAAATGCAAATAAAATAGATTTCTTTTTTTATACAAAATTCTGTCGACTTTCGACAATAATGTGACACTATTCAGAATAAATAAATATCAAAGTCGTGCTTCAAATAAGCATTCGAATAATTTCATGCGGTTAACTTATCACGGACAACATTATTTCAATTGTTGATCAGAGATCGCACATTTTGATGTCAACATAAACATTTTATTAATGAATGAGTCGAGGTTCTTTAAGAATTAACGTGCAAATTATTATGAAACCTTTACATCACTGTTTAGCAAATAATTTGCATTCATGGCTTTATATGCAAGTGATGAAATTAACAACATTTTATGTTAAAAAAAGAAAATGTCAATGAGATAATAATCAAATGAGTTATGGTACGCCATAAACACTGGGTTACAGGTAAAACTCATACATACAAAAGTCTGTCAATACTTCTAAAAAAAGTACCAACATTAACAACATTAGTAGTAGAAATAAAATGGCACTGTCTCATAAAAATCACAGATCCCCAGTAATAACGTACTCAAAATATGACCTAGACCTAGTTAAAAACCACAGAATGGACTAAAAAGTTTGAAATCTAAAATTGTACGCAATGTAAAATACAGTCTCTGTTTCTAACGTTTCTAATCTTACTACTAGGATAGGACTGCTGTTGCTGTCCCAAAGAAATAAGATAAACATGAGACCTACTTAAAAGGGATAACAATAAAGTTACAAGCCCACTTAAATTACAAGAACTGTTGAAATATCAGTCAAGTTAGTTTTAAGGGGCTTGTTCCTAAGATCATTGTTGCTCTTAAAAAACGAGCTGATGTTGCAATGATGCTTTTAATTCCCCTAAAATATCCTGATATCAACCACCCAAACATACAAATTCCTCTCTAATAGAACCTAAAGCTATCTAGTTTTCCTTGGATACTGCGTTTAAGTTCGGCCTGTCTTAACTGACCTTACTTCCAATGCAATAGTTGATGCAAGTAATATTTTTGCAATGCAACGGTTGCGAGCGGTTGCATACGCAACAAATGACGCAATTATATGGTTAATGTGACGTCCTGGATTATATTGTTAGATCATAGCTGTGAATAATTACGTAGTCGGGTTTAAGATGAAATTGGATATTCGTCATCAAGGAAAATGGTGAAAGAACTTCGCAATTTTTATTACATTGGTTGTTAAAATCAATTTTCTGCTTACAGTAAAACGGGGTGAATAGATATAGAAGAGGGATGAATAAATGTTGGGAAAATATTCTAACATTTATTCACCCCATTCCTGTATCTATTCACCCCTTGAATTCTAATCACTCCGTTTTACGGTAATACATATTTGTACTAAAGGCGAAAAATTTAAAACCCAATGAACCTCTAGGAACAGACATGACTGCATGATTGGCCCGGTGGCTGGGCACCCAGCTGCTGGGCAACGTGTAGCGATAGCGGGTTCGATTTCTGCACGGGTCTTTGTGTGATCCACAAAATAGGAGAAAATCCTAGTGTGGGGAAATGTTTAAAAATGGATCTATAACAAGAATCTAATTTAAACTGTCAAACACCAAGCGGTCACCGGTGACCGCGACCTATTGTTCTTTAATTGTGTCTATAAAACCGGTACTCGACGAGTTAATTTCGTCATAATTATTAACTTTGTTTTTTGTTTGTATTGTATAAAAAAATATGTTTGCTGTTTAGGGTAAAACATGATACAGTTACAAAATAACGTGGATAATTAAAAGTTTTATTTTAGATCTTCATTTACGACCAATTACGACTATCCAAACGAAAATAACATTAATTTATCAATCTGTCAAAATATTTCGCTGAATCGATGGATCAGGCAAAGGTAAGCTCATGTAATGCCTTACAAAAAATATGTTGCTTATAAAATTAAGTCATTATTTTTGCTAATGGGTTGAAAATGTTAATACAGATTCCGGTACCTACGTAAGAATCTATTTTATTACTACCTATTTAAGTATTTCGATGTCGTAATATTTATAATTGGCATGCAAGACAGAAGCAAGGATAACATTTTATTTAAACCAGCTGTAGGTCATAAAGTTGACCTTAGATATTATTTATGCAAAGATGGTGACCTTATAAATTCGTACGTAAGGTTTTATACATTATACCATAGATTTACATAAGATTTATTACATGGATAAGCCTGATGTAAGAGCATGGTGACCCAATGATATCGGCCCCGAATTGTGAATGTTAACCGTGGCTAAAAATCAAAGATCATTATTTTTTAAGGTCGAAAATAGGTACTGCCAAAACTGTTCTTAAACCAAAAAAACCAACGACACGTGGAATGAACGGTTTACCTACATAAAGTCTCAAAATTTATATTTTTAATCTAGTTTAATTTCTAACAATGTGGAATTTTGCTAATTCTAAACTGGTCACGTGAATACGAGAAATTACTTGTTTGCGTTGTATTTATGGGTAATTGTTTTCCTTAAGTAAATTATTTAATTCTGAATTATTATAATTACTTAAACTCGTATTAAAATATCAATTGTACCTAAAATATCGTGTGCCATTGTTTTGTGGAAGCGCGTTGTTCATCCAAGCAGGAAAACCCACGGAGCGTCACGTCACAAGTTATGAGAATTATCGTTTTTGTTACCACGCATTACATAAGTAATTAAAACCATTTACTTTTTTTTTATTGTAAAATCGAGCCTTTAACTTCCTGAAATATTTTTGTTAGTTATGTTGTTGGTGTCCTTGTATAAGAAGATGAATTTATTGCTAAACGTCGGTCATAATTCCGGACTCTGAGCGATTTCTACGAAGTATGACGTTGAAAAACCCAACTCATTGGGGCAAAGCATCGAGTACCTACGTATTGAACTGATTCCAAGGATCAAAATTGTCATCATTATAATAAGAAACTTTACAACATTGTGCCTATGAGATGTCAAAACTTTTTTCTTAAGAGGAATATTGAGAGGCAATCTCCCCAGTCTCCAAATTATCAATCCTTAAACTCCTCACCCCTAAAAGGCTGGCAACGCACTCCTCTGGAGTCTATGGGCGATGGGCGACGCCATCGGGTCACAAATCTGTCTCGTTTGCAGGCCTATCCCATAAAAAAAATTATCAGGATACAAAGATAATCTAAAAAATAATATGAACCCAATTCTAGTTTATCAAGGGCCTTAAATTATCGTGATACATGTTACTTCACACAAATTATGAGTCAGTTTACCAATAACCCTCAAATGTTATAGGTATTTCTCACTGACCTACTGACTTAGAAAACGCGTCCGAATTTGCTGTGCATTTTTTTCAATGCGATTGTGACATCGCGTTACTTCAATTGTTACGTTTGCCATTTTTTACGACTTGCTTAGATCGCAAAATATTAGCTTGACGGACATCTTGCATGTTGGACATTTTTTTTAATTAGTTCAGGGCCAAATACTTTCTTACTATAAGTCTGTGCAATGGCAAAATGGCATAGATCAAAATGTTGATCTCAATAAATTCTAGTTGGTTTACGAACATAATTGAAATAGGTACACTTTATATCCAGACTAGGAACAATAAATGTGGAATACACAGATTACCTATTAGGTACTTCGTGCGGGAATCAAACCCTTGACACGTTGGGTGTGTAAGTACCTACACCATGTAGGTAGGTACTTCGCTTAGCCCAGGGATAAAACCTAGTTTTAATTATTGGGACGTCCCAAGAATTAAAAGTAGGTTTATTTAATTACGATAGTTATCTAAAAAAAAAGTAATAGCTATTAGGACATTGTAATTAGAGCGATCATCTAATCACCTATCTATAAATTTAAAATAAAACAGTTTTACGAATACGGTCTTATGTATTATGCCAGTCTAAAAATAATATCTATTTAGTAGGTACTGCAATACATATTTCCTAATTCAATATTGATATTAAGTTATTATTGCATTAACTGAAATCTTAGAAACTTTTACTCTACGTATCTATAGCAAATTGTTTCAACTCTACATAAAAAAAGAAAATATGTAAGTATTTTATTGTGATAGCGCATAAAATTATCAAATTACTTAAACGAAATTAGGTGAAACAATCGTCCACGTTGTGCTTAGCAACATTTCAACAATATTTTGCAAGTATTCTCGTGTTATTACTAATATGATGACCATGAATGACTACGATTAACAAACCTTGAGGCTTGATTTTTGTTGGCAGATGTTTTTCCTGTCATTATACCACTTACCTGCATTTACATAAAAACAAGAATGAAAATTAAAATAAAATATTCTTGTCCAGAAATCTGTTGTAAATCCTTTTATATTCTTGGTAGCTTGATTTTAAATATTCTATCACTATGATATCGAACAGTTATTAATAGGTACGTAAAATTAAGAATTAAGAAAATGTATGTTTAAATAGGACCGTTACTCAGCCTTAAATTATTGAATTAAATTATGTTTTAGCTTAATTTACACTAAATCATATATTTATTTTTTAAATGATAAAATTCTGAATATAACGTCATTTCAAACATTTCCATTTTAATTCACTGCTCATTTTACGTGTCGAGAATACCTTCCACTACTTTGTCTATGATCTGTGCAAGTATCCAAATCCAAGTTTTAGTAACCATTTAAAAAGGTTCCACAAACAGTTTATGGTTCATACTTGACAATCATGGCGAGCACGTCGAGGTCTGTTTTTCTGATTTATTTTATTCCTGTTTCGTTATTTACAACGATATTTGTATATTGTACAGCTGAATATAATTTATGTTTGCTATGATTATACGTAAGTTTACGTTGGTGCTAATAAAGTGTAGCAAGAGGCCGCGACAAAGTTGTTTCCCAAAGATTTGATTTCTACTTGTTGATGAATGATGACCCTACTTTCTTTTGTGGTTTTTAGGCTTGAGGCGAATAAGGTGGTGTGCTATGCCCATCCAGATGCACCACTTATCGAAGATTACAGGGCTGGGGACATGATATGTTCGGAATGTGGGCTTGTGGTCGGCGACAGGTATGTACCAAAATGTTTGTTTGGCAATATTTACGAAACGCATTGAGCTTTTCACCACTGGTATAATGTCGTAATAATAACAAAGTTGCTGAACTAATGCGAGTGATGTATTTGATTTCTATTATTTCGAGGTCGCTCATTAATTGACTAATTGTGCAATGTGGAAACTTTGAATTGCACATAGGAACTGACAATTAAGATAATCACATGAACGCAAATCAACTTTTGTCTTAACAATACATTATCATCTGGAAGGATTTTGCTTCAATAATGTGTAATTTTAAGACAGAAACAAATAGAATTTAAAAAGACCAAGTAGATACAAATGTGGTGTGGTAACATCTGGTGTATTTTAGCAAATGCTCAGATTGTGCGTTTGTATGTAGGAAATACTAATTTTAATATCATTTCAACATCCGAACAGACTTAGTAATAACTGAGTTCTCATCCATTTGTAACCATAATTTTCTATTTTCAGAGTTATTGATGTGGGGTCTGAATGGCGTACATTCAGCAACGAGAAGTCCGGAGTAGACCCATCTCGTGTCGGTGGCCCGGAAAATCCCCTTCTTTCCGGTGGTGACTTGTCAACAATCATTGGGCCTGGTCGAGGAGATGCATCATTTGACAGTTTCGGAGTATCAAAATATCAGAACAGGAGAAACATTAGCAGCACGGATAGGGCTTTGATAAATGCATTCAGGGAAATAAGCACTATGGCAGACAGAATAAACTTACCCAAGACTATTATTGACAGGGCCAACAATTTGTTCAAACAGGTATGTATCACTGACAATAGATGATAAATTAATACTTTATAATTATAGTATTCTATTGCAAGTTCTTTTAAGAATTAAGAAACATCTTAAAATTAGGTCAATGCATAATACTTAGCATTTCATTCTTAATTTCCGAGTCAGGGAAATGTACAGTAATACCTACATAATTATATTGATTTGGAATTATAGGCTGGCAATGCAAAATATACTTTTCTCATATTTCTCGTGTGTTAATACAAATTTCAGAACATACGAATATATAAAACTCCTTAAATAAATAAGCTTATGCATATAACTTATCAGTAACAAAACTGGGTTTTGCAGAAAGAATATAATTATTAATCGGATAATAATAATTATTAATCAGGTTTAATCCCCAAGCGGTCATTGGTGACCTCTCTCCACTAACTCGATTATAGACCTATTTTCTGATGTAAGACTACTTTTGTATAAACAAATTTAGGGGATGATATATCGATGTAATATTCAATAATTTAGTTAATACTCCTCAATTAGTATTTGCATTATCATGAGGGCACATAGTATTAGTCTTTTTAATTTTGAATTTTTGTTAAAATTCATTTATTTGCAATGAAGGCAAACTTTTGTTTCATACGCAATTAACTGTTGCTTTAGAAATAAACAAAATGTGGTGCTTTTTGATCATGTGGTAAATGTGTATTTCAAAAAGGTACAACACGACGACAAAAACATTTAAAAACATATTGCATGTAATATTTGTATGCATTGTTTCAATATTCATACTTTACTGAACATAATAATTATACATGGTCAAAGGCAATTTTCATGAAAATATTACATTATGAAACACATACATTGTAAGTTTTGTTATTGTGTTAATATTTTGTGCATAACTCTTGACCTTACTGGCTTATGCATATATGAAAATAAAATTAGCATCCTTTTGAGGGGCACGGACAATGCAATGTTGCTGAAGAGGAACCATATACACATTTGTTAAATGTAATATTTAAACAAATATTGTTAACAAATAGTTATTGTGTAATATACTACTAACTCTTGTAACATAACTATCAAATTATTGCATTGCTTTAGGTTTGTATTCTATAATGCATTAGGTATTGGCCTGATCACAATTTACCTACATACAGCATGCATAAATGCCTTAATAAGAGTCGATTACATTATCTTATATCTTATACTGTTATATATAGGAAGGAAGAGTTTGTTTTTTTGTTTGTTTGTTTGAACGCGCTAATATCCGTAACTACAAGTCTGATTTGAATAATTCTTTTTATGTTGGATAGCGCATTTATCGAGGATGGCTATAGGCTATAAAACATCACGCTACGATCAACAGGAGTTGAGCAGAACGTGTAAAACCGCGCGGAAGTAGCTAGTCATTGATATTTATTCATTAATCTACATATTTAGGCAAAATTCTCTCGTATACCATCCATGGGTGACACTAATAGTTTATTATCAGTGATATGTGGTTGTTAGCCCTCCTATTCCATAGAAAAACTAATACTAATTAGATACTAAATGATCTATTTTGTATTTCGTTTACAGGTGCACGATGGCAAGAACTTGAAAGGTCGAGCAAATGATGCGATAGCCTCAGCCTGTCTCTACATTGCTTGTCGCCAAGAAGGAGTACCACGTACATTCAAAGAAATCTGCGCTGTCAGCAAAATCAGCAAGAAGGAAATAGGAAGGTGTTTCAAACTGATCTTGAAGGCCCTTGAGACTTCAGTGGAACTCATCACCACAGCAGACTTCATGTCTCGTTTCTGCTCAAACTTGGGTCTGCCCAATTCAGTGCAAAGAGCTGCTACACATATCGCAAGGAAAGCCGGAGAGCTGGATATTGTGTCCGGACGCAGTCCCATTTCTGTGGCAGCGGCTGCAATTTATATGGCTTCTCAGGTATGTTATTTGTTTGATATGATGATTATAAATTAGAGTGAGGTTGGAGAATTCTTAATCCAAACTACCTACTTTATTTACTTTTATCACTTACTACCAGGCGAGATAGTGGACAAACGTCGGTCCATCAAATATAAATAAAAAAAAACTTAACTGGCTTGAATCTTGTTATAATTAATTTAGTACTTAATCTTACACAAAATCCAACCTATATTGAGTTGAACTCTTAATAGGGCAGTTTCCTAAATTTTATTTTAATGTCCGTCTGGTAGATTAATTTAAAACTTTAGACACTAATTTTTTCTTTCCTCACAAAATTAAATACTTTCGACGATATATTCATTTGAAATATCGTGTGACGTCACAGTGTGCCACATTTTATAGCACGTTATGACGTAACAGCCTCCTCCTGAACTTATCGCCATTTTATCTAAGTATTGCAACTTAATACGAGAAAATAATAAAATACGTGTCTAATATTTTTTCATTATCTAACTGACGGAGTAATTAGATTTTTAATTTTGATACCCTGGAAACTACCCAATTGATAATAACATAAAATGGGTTTTAAAAAGTAATATTGCTTGTTTCCAAAATGGCTGACCCTGTGTTCCTTTGAGCAATTTACTTTCGTCTTGTGTTACAATTTTCTGATTGTAATTCTACAGTAAAAAAATAAAAATTTGATCATTTCTATTCTTGTTATGATAATTAACTTTAAACAATGAAGTAAGTATGACTCAACTGATGTAAGGTTTAATTATTATTGCTTTTTTTGCAGTTGTTCAAATATATAAGGTGTTCTATAATTTTATGCCACGGCTTTAATGGGAGGTAGTGTTATGTTTACAGATTACAATTGTGAAGAAATTTCGTACCCCGGACCAGTTAATTACATACAGTAATTAAGTAAACATTGACTACATTCTGCATAATGTGGTTCACAAATTACGCGCGATGCGTCGCTTAGTCAATGAAAACAATTGCTATCTCTTTCCACGTGTACTGAGAATGAAAACGGAAATCAGCTGACTAGTTCGTCACTATCTAATCTACTAGATACTCAATAGGCAGGCTAACAAGGGTTTTAAAAGTGCAATTACTTACCAGGTACGGCATTCTTCCGAAAAGCTGATGTAGGTAAATAAGATTATAAACTTCCCATCACACTTAAAACAGTTTTTTACACACTCTCTACCTACTTATCTACAAAACTGTTGCACAAGTCCACCTTCGCGTTGCACACAAATAAAGGCACGCTTCCAAACATGTCATATCACATTATTTAACGTGTCCGTTTCACTTTTACTTTGTTTCGCGTTTGACTCCACAAGTTATTGTCACTATCATCGTAAACTCCGGCGGTATCCCTTGTGCACGCAAGAAGATGACACCGAAAGAACTCTAACACTTCCTCTTCGAGTTCTGATTTGAATTTCGTCGCCTGGTAGTCATTTTTACGTAGCGCGCGCGTATCTCCGACATTAAAACTAACGTGCGGGCAAGCAGGGGTTGACGGGGCTACTGGCGGCCGGGCGGCGCGTGCGACGAGTTCTGCTGGGGTGTGTTGTCTCGTTCTTGAACGCCCCGTCATACGCTGTTGCCATCCTTATCAGACCGCTCGCGCCGGGCGGCTAAGAGCACGCTGCACACCCCCGCGCGCCCGCACCCTCTCCTGCACTCGTCGCACGCGCTGGTCAACCGGCCGCCGGGCAGGCGGGGGTTGAGCTACTGATAAGGATGGCAACAGCGTATGACGGGGCGTTCAAGAACGAGACAGCACACCCCAGCCAGCAGAACTCGTCGCACGCGCCGCCCGGCCGCCAGTAGCCCAGTCAACCCCTGCCTGCGCGGACGTTGTTAGTTTCAATGTCGGGGATACGCGCGCGCTACGTAAAAATGACTCCCAGGCGACGAAATTCTAATCAGAACTCGAAGAGGAAGTGTTAGAGTTCTTTCGGTGTCATCGTCTTGCGAGCACAAGGGATACTGCCGGAGTTTACGATGATAGAGACAATAACTTGTGGCGTCTTTTAAATCAAACGCGAAACATAGTAAAAGTGAAACGGACGCATTAAGTAATGTGATATGACATGTTTGGAAGCGTGCCTTCATTTGTGTGCAACGCGAAGGTGGACTTGTGCAACAGTTTTGTAGATAAGTAGGTAGAGAGTGTGTAAAAAACTGTTTTAAGTGTGATGGGAAGTTTATAATCTTATTTACCTACATCAGCTTTTCGGAAGAATGCCGTACCTGGTAAGTAATTGCACTTTTAAAACCCTTGTTAGCCTGCCTATTGAGTATCTAGTAGATTAGATAGTGACGAACTAGTCAGCTGATTTCCGTTTTCATTCTCAGTACACGTGGAAAGAGATAGCAATTGTTTTCATTGACTAAGCGACGCATCGCGCGTAATTTGTGAACCACATTATGCAGAATGTAGTCAATGTTTACTTAATTACTGTATGTAATTAACTGGTCCGGGGTACGAAATTTCTTCACAATTGTAATCTGTAAACATAACACTACCTCCCATTAAAGCCGTGGCATAAAATTATAGAACACCTTATATTTTAATTAGCTACAAGTACAATTAAACAATTTTATTGATAAAATTTTGTGCAAGTCAGTCGAAATTCTGTTTCTCATCAAAATAAATGTGATCGTGTATCTTAACCCTATGAGTACCGTCATTATAGACACAGTTAAAGAACAATAGGTTGCGGTCACCGGTGTCCTCGCGGTGTTTGACAGTTTAATATAAGAAATATTCAGAGTTTATCGGTTATAAATGCTGTACATTATTACTGTGAAAAGAATTGAAGAAGACTGCCTCGTTGGCCGTGTGGTCGCAAGAGCGACTGCCGGGCAAGTGTTCTTGGGTTTGATTCCCGGGTAAGGCAAAGTATTACTGGGTTTTTAAAAAAATCTCAGTAGTAGCACGGAGTCTGGAAATGTGCCCGGTATATGGTAATAGGCTCACCCCCTATTACATGCGACTCACAACATAGAAAAGTGGGTGTTACTTCTGTGTGCACCTCTGCCTACCTCTTCGGGGATAAAAGGCATGATGTTATGATGTACCACAAAATATTTGCATACATATCCAAAAATCTCCTAAATAAGCTCAGAATGATGATATACATTATCTTATTACAATGACTTGAAGAAGTGGATGAACTGTAACTACTCATGCATGCATTTCAAGGTCTACCAGGATAGTGTACACAAAAATTAATCATTACATACTTGAGCAGAATTCGCACACAAGTGCAAACATGATGCTAAAAATAAATATTTAAAGTACACATGTTTTTTAAGTAAATATTTTAATAAAACTTGACCTTCTTGCAACTTTGATGTAATCTTTGCAAGGACAAGGGCAAATATATAATATTTTATATCTTAGTAGCTTTTACCCGCTGCTTCGCTCGCGTCACAAAAGCATAAAAACTAGCCTATGTGACATATACCAATACATACAGCGCCATCTATACCAATACTTTTGTTTTCCCTCGGGAATATAAAATTTTTCCAGGATAAAAAGTACCCTATTATTTAATCCGGACGTCTAACTTTACGTCTGCAAAAATTCAAAGCAATCGGTTTAGTAGTTACGGCGTGAAAGCGTAACAAACAAACAAACAAACAAACTCACTTTCTGATTTATAATATTAGTAAGGAAGTAAGGATAAGGATTTAAACGGTATTTAATATGATAGTCATTTGTGTTATGTCTGAACGTGTTTTAATTCACTGAATAGGGATGATGACAGGGTATAAAAATTTAAATTGTAATTAATCCGTCAGTTAAGTAATGAAAAATTATTAGACACGTATTTTTTATTTTGTGGTATATTGGAGTGGTCGCTAGAGCGACTGCCGGGCAAGGGTTCTTGGGTTTGATTCCCGGGTAAGGCAAAGTACTACAGGGTTTTTAAAAAAATCTCAGTAGTGGCACGGAGTCTAGAATTGTGTCCGGTATATGGCAATAGGCTCACCCCCTATTACATGGGACTCATAACATAAATAGTGAAAAGTGGGTGTTACATTGTACAGTGGCATTAAGTGCAGTAATATGCACCTCTGCCTACCCCTTCAGGGATAAGAGGCGTGATGTTATGTTATGTGAAAAAAATATTCTCACATATCTGAACAACTTTTTTTTCTTTTTTTCCAGGCGTCAGAGGACAAACGCAGCCAGAAGGAAATTGGAGATATAGCCGGTGTGGCTGATGTGACCATTCGCCAGGCATACAAACTGATGTACCCCTTCGCAAGTAAATTGTTCCCAGATGACTTCAAATTCTCCACGCCCATCGAGTTTCTGCCTCAAATGTAGACTCAGGTACCCCATATGGCATCTAAAAAAAAACTATCATAAAAAAATGATAGTTTCAAGTATGCACGTCGAAATAGTGGATTTTCTGACGCGCTATATCATTTTTCCCCGTAGATATAACTCTGATTTTGCACTTTTAAGACTATGTTTTTTTCTCCAAAGGTCGTCTTAAAGTCATTGGGGTACGATTCAATTTTAATTGAATTTTTTCTATTTATGTAGTATGGCTATTTCTGATAGAGTACACAAAAATATCTATGAAAATAAAATCGTATTTTTTCGTGTAAAGAACACGGAGTATATAGTCGATGGAGAGCTTACAACTCAATTCATAATTTGAATTCGGTAATTTGATGTTATTTAGTGTAGTTAAACGTATTTCCTTCACGATAAGAACTATTTTTGCATAATTTTTTCGCCGTTTCTGTCTTATTATTGAGTATTAATTATGAGTTGTTTATCATCTTTATGATTCTGTTGTATAGGTACTTATTTCTGCTTTAGGATAATCACATTAAATATAACGTTTCATACATTCATTACTTCAATTTTAATTCTTTAACTATTTCATGTAGATATGTTAGTTTCAAACTTAAAATGTCTTACTTATCATACATGTAAAAATATTAATTTGTAGCTAAAATTATTTATTAAATTCAATTCAATTTTATACACAGACTGAAAATTCTAAACATTTAAAAAATATACAAAATCATTGCATCATTCATTGTCCTTCAAATTTCAAAATTATTCATATCGTAATTTTATTTTATTTTTTTATTTTCCACTACAAATCATACTCCATCTTAGTTATCAAAGAACTGAAGTTGTGTGATAGAAGATTGTTCATTCATTGTGTTGTTGGTAAACTAACATTTAGTACATTACTGGTATAGTATACACTTGGTATAAACAATGCAGATGGAAAGACGTGATGTATACTGTTATTATAGGTGTCTGATTTCACTGTTCGACATACAGCACAGATTATATAGACTTTTGTTACTAATAATAATTATGTATTGTGCATACAGCCAAGTTATTTAGTATTAAAAAAACTAATAACAAACAAAAAGTCAAAACTAAAAAGCAAAAAATAACTATTATTAGTACTGATATAGATACTGAACCCACCCACTGATTGGTAAGAAGTCGGTGCCATAAGTTCAATACAAAATTATTCATTAAAACTTTAATAGGTACCTAATTCAGAATTTTGTGGACATTAAGTTATATCATTATGATATGAGCTTATGGCACCGACTTCTAAACTATCAGTGGGTGGGTTCAGTATCTATATCAGTACTAATAATAGTTATTTTTTGCTTTTTAGTTTTGACTTTTTGTTTGTTATTAGTTTTTGGTTTTTTGAAGTCGGTTTTTTAAACGCAGTTTTTATTTTATTATTTTATCATTTTCAGTGTAAAGCTACATATACCCGTTTTGTTACTTATAATCTACATAGGTGCAAAGTTTTAATCAATACAAATTATACAAGTCCAAACACAAGGTAGTTACTGTATACCGTTGAGGAGTTCCCTTAACAATTAAACTTCTTCATTATCAGACCCTTAATGACAGCTCCACTCTATCTAGGTGTAAAGTCCTCATCAATACAAATTAATCAAGCCCAAACACAAGGTAGTTACTGTATACCGTTGAGGAGTTCCCTTAACAATTACACTTCTTCATCATCAGACCCTTAATGACAGTCCCACTCTATCTATGTGTAAAGCCCTCATCAATACAAATTAATCAAGCTCAAACACAAGGTAGTTAATATAAACCGCTGAGGAGTTCCCTCGACTGTCTGTCGGCTCCATCATCAGGTCGACTCCAAACCCTTATGAAGTTGTAGTGTTTAAAAATCGTAATTGAAAAACATAATAGACGCATTACTCGCCCATAGAATTTTCGAAAGTTCCCCTCGGTTTCCCTAGGATCCCATAATCAGATCCTGACCTCATGGAAATGGGACCATCTCGGGAGTATACCCTTTCAAACAAAACAAGAATTTTGAAAATCGGTTCACGCATCTCAGAATTATGCGCGTACATACATACATACAAAGAAAAAAAGCAACATACCGGCCGAACGTATAACCTCCTCCTTTTTTGAATTCGGTTAATAAGACAATAAACATAGTACAGAGACAGTAACTATGGGTTGCCTGAATCGGACAGTGGTTTGGCACTAAAAACGTACAATTTCGTACAATATAGCTATGTCGCTGTACAGCATCAATATTTTCTTACCTGCATATCAAATAAATTGGCTGAATGTACTTAAAATAGTTTATTTAGTAGATATGACCGTATGTTGTAAATATGAAAACTTTCGTAAGACATACTAATTTATTATTATGTTTTGGGCTTACTCATGTAATTGTTTGACGAGGAACTCGACTAGTTTCAAGCCATGCTAGGGGCTCATATTCATGAGTAGACTGTCGCGCTGCTACTGGCTGCTTGAGTCAGCTGCTGTGCGGGCCCAACGCGCCCTCTGCCGTGATTCACGCAGTAAGTCGAAAATATAATAATTAATTAGTATTTTTTATGACTTTTTACAAAATACGGTATATACGGATAAATAATTTTCTCGATAAACTAAATTGTTGGTGAAATCAGGGCAGCCTACTGTGGGCATAGACACAAGTGAACAACATTGTATTTTTATATTAAATGTAGACATAAGTATTAACTATGATTTTCCGTAGAATGATAGTTCCTGTCACTGGTTACAAAGCCCTATTTATGTATTTATAGAATTCTGTGCCTAAAGACAAAAAACAAGAATTTACTCTTTGTAGTTATACATACCTTGTGGGTTTTTCAATTTATTTTTGCTTTAAGCAATCACAATAAATATATTTGTTTGTCTATTAACATGGACGTCCATTACATTGGACGTGCGGTAGAAACAAAACTAACTGTTCATCCATTTACTATTTCATCTGTAATTTTTGTTGCATAACTCATTCTGATTGAATACACATGGTGATCCGCCTAATACACATGGTGTAGCCATTTGTATTAATTTTCCAAATTCTTTTGTTCTTAATGAGATAATAGGTCCATAAAGTGACAGGACGTTTTGTGATTTTTTAATTATCTTTTTGATAGAGGTGACAGTTGTATTTATAGTACCTAATAATAGTTATTATTGTAATAGTATGTCTTGTATAGTTTCCGTCATGTTGGTACACTGTTTTCTTTTTATTAGTTGTTAAGTTTCTCCAACTAGACAGTGTAACGGTGTATTTAAAAAATACAGAATTAACGATACTTACTTTTCTTTGTATATTTGGTCATCTTTGTAGAAATTTCCTTAATTTTTTTTGTCTTAAAACACATGTCTATAATCTTCCAATTTTACAGTCTCGAAGATGATCAAATATTGTTTCATGTATAATTAATAGATAGAATATATCTATAGATAGTAGACTGATACATTACAAAGTAAATGTAACCTTATATATATGGGCATAAATACTATTTTTGGTCTTACAAAACACTTGTTACCAATGCAATGAATTTCTATAGAGCTTTTTATATATACGGAATATAGTAGCTTGACTAAAAAACTACAGATTATTGTATTGTATAATATACCTTATTACCTATATGAATAAATATCATAATATAACAGCGACCAATTTGAAATAACTTTGGAAATGCTGGAACTATAAATTATATCCTTAGATATATCTAAATGTTGGCTTAAAAGCCTATATATCAATACTGTTACTTACATTGAACAAAATGACTGACAGAAAGTCTAAGTTTCTATATTGTAATACCATTAAGCACTTATTGGCAGTACTCAGTCATTTAACGCATTAACCTCTTGTATGACTGTATTTAAACCTTAAACTGCTGACAAAAACTGTTAAGGCCAATCCTCCGCTAGCGGCACGGCATCCAATGTGTTAAGGCACAATAGAAAATGTATTAATTATTATGTTTTCGGCTTACTCACGTAATTATTTGACGAGGAACTCGACTAGTTACAAGGCATGCTAGAAGCTCATATTCAGGCTTCATATTCTTATTCAGAAATGAATATGAGCCTCTAGCATGGCTTAAAACATAATAATTAATTTATTATGTTTCATGAAAGTTATAACACAAAGAAAATGCATTGTGTCTCTCCTAGATCTACGCTCCGTCATACCAGAAGTTAAACGCCATGAGGGTCAAGGACTTTAGCAAAGGATTTATCTTCAACAGTTTTCTATTGGCAGTCAAATTGTAAGTCAACATTATGTGGTGACTTAACCTAGGCCTTCGCAATTGTTCTCGGAACAAAAACGTTCCTAAGGAACATTTTAAGTAGTCATTAACTGCCAATTTTAATAACCAATTTCAATTTAAAATGTTTAGATTACGATCGAGTTTTGATATGAGTTTTATAGGAATTAATATTTTATAATTAGATAATATTATAATTTTAATTGTCAGCAGTAGCACGGAGTTTGAAATGGTGCCCGGTATATGGCAATAGGCTCACCCCCTATTACATGACTCATAACATAAATATTGAAAATTGTACAGTGGCATTAAGTGTCGTAATTTCCACCTCCGCCTACCTCTTCGGGGATAAAAGGCGTCATGTTATGTTGTTGTTCTATAGAATTTCTATAAAAAATCAAGATTGATCCAGAGATTTAATTTATATAACTTTTTAGATATAATTGGATTAAGATCAGTTCTTGAAATCGGCAGTAAATGACTGAGTACGCCGGTAAGGTTCTTTATCCTAACATTAAACAGTTTAAGGATGTGTTGTAAATATGTATCTGTCTATCCCTTTCGAGAAAGACAGGCGATGTTTATGGTGTATGTAATTATACCCATTAGATAAATAGTATTTAAACGCTAGTCGAAAGGATGAATATTGTATAGAAACGTTAATATATGGGATTGACATTAATATTGACATAATTTGTCGAATGTCAGTGTCCGTTTTAAAATTATACTAGCTAATTCCGTGCGGTTGCA